GATTTAGGCTTTCCGACCGTCCTAGCCTTAATCTTAATCCCCTTCTTCGGCTTCCCCTTTCCGCCTTGGACCATAAGGACGGAAGCACCCTTGCCCTTAGTAAGGTTCTCCTCTGCAGTCTGGAGCATTTTAAGAAGCTCCGGAAGGGGTTTGTCAAGATCATGCATCATGTAGTTCATGACAAAACCCTTATACAGCTCAGGGAGCGACTGCAGGATCAGGTCCGTTGCCAACTCCTTCTGCAAGGAGAACCCGAGTTTCCCCAGATTGGTTATGTAACCAATCATTTTGAGAACGTGCGGACCGACCGGGTTCCCTGAAGAGAGCTTGCAACTAAAGAGAGCCTTACTCACGAGAAAACGTTCATGCCTGGATTGCCCCTGGTATAGCTGCCGCAAGGCCACGATCATCTCGTGGGCCTTCATGTCCTCGTGTTGTTTTTGCAGCTCGGGTATCATGGTAGCCAGCATGACACAGCTAACCTGGTTGTCATCCTTAACGTGCTTCTCGTAGGCATCTTTGACCGCTTTCGGGGCGTTAGCGGGAGGGGCAGGAGGAATGGGCTTTTCGAGCACATACTCTTTCTCATCCATGCGGAGAACAATGCACAGATTGCGTTGCCAGTCAACAAAGTTTGTTCCGTTCAATTTATCTTTATCCAGAATCGAACGCAGGGCGAGGTTGTTTGTGTTGTTGTTTGCCATCTACAGAATTTTGCGAAGATAGTTATTATCATGAATTAAGTATCTAATAGGTCTTTATTAAATACTCTCCCACTATTTCTAACAAGTCAACTACCCTCAGGTACGGAACCTATTGACTTGAGGTTTCTATTTGAAGAATACCCTAGCGGGCCAAGATCCATATTTTATTTAAATATAGTTGTGCTTTGCATCTTGCCCTACAGTTAAATTATTTAGGTAGGAATTCATTCCAATTGCAATCGTTATTACAACTCTTGGTTCGGTGGATTCTTTTAAATAAAATTCTTAATTGGGCGAGATCCATATTTCATTTAACTATAGTTGTGCTTTGCATCTTGCCCTACAGTTAAATTATTTCTGGTAGGAATAAATTCCATTTGTAACAATTTACAACTCTGGTTGGATGATCTGATTTTATTTATTGATCCTACCGCAGTGCCCTAAGTCTCTCATCCTTATGACCAAGACTTAGTTAAGACTAACCCGGGGCGAGTCAGTACCCTAGTTACGGGTTTCGCGCCTAACCAACGTAAACCGGGCGTCTCACTTGGGTGAGTCCGTTACCGATCTAAATTGAGTTTGACGAGTGACGGGGCGTCGGGGTGGCACAGACTTAAAATTATGAGGGATTTATAACGCAGTCTTGCCTATGGCATACACCGCGCGTATGCACTAGCGAAAATCACATACATGCATATACATCACATGCATAATAAGTAAACGTGAAATGATTGTGGCTCCTAAAGAAAAACAAACGATAGCGCCTTGATCAAGAGATCTCTATCTCCGGCCCATCACGTCTTCCTTAGGAATCTCTATCACGAACGGACTTCGTCTTCTTGTCTTCTTATAATTTTCGAGAGAAAAGAATATTTGAGGTAAAGAAGAGAATTACATCCAGAGTATAAAGATGAGGCACGACACGCAGGCCGTATTTAAAATTACAACAAATATAACTAAGCCACAATCATCCACCATGCAATAATACATACAAGCATCACATGCATCACATCATACATATTAAAGCATACACCGGGCGAACCGCGCTCGCCCCAGACCTAGTTTATTCTATTCTACGGAATAAACTATCAACAATAAATTAATTAAACTAGCAAGTAATTTAATTAAAA